GCTTTTCTTTTGGCTGCTTCTCTTCCAAAGTTTCTGGAATACTTCAAGATTAAATAAAGAAAGGTATGTTGGACCAGGTATCGGGGTCATCCAGTTAGATAGTGAGTTGTTCTGAATTCCTATACATTTTCAAATTTTTTTAAAAATTGGACTGGTAAAGTAGGGATTAAGGATAGAGAGAGAGAGAGAGAGAGAGAGAATGCCATCCAAAAGCCCATTAGATTTGGGGTGACAGCCAGAGAAGGACATATGTAAAATGAAAAAGCCACACATAAGATCTTCGAAAGTTCAGTACAAAGCTCCTAAGGAAAGCTTTTTTTACCAGGCACTGAAGTGTAGTCAGGTAAAGCCAGGTATGACGGCGTATGCTTTTAATCTCAGCTACTCAGGAGGCAGAAGGATCATGAGTTTAAGGGCAACACAGGCAAACTAATGAGATTTTTATCTCAAAAACAAAATAAAAGAGAAAGGGTATATATAGCCCTTGTCTTGTAATATGTGAAGCTCTAGTTCAATTTCCAATACTTCAAAAAAATAAACTCGGCCTAAAAATTCCCAATTGTGGAAATTTACATTTATTCTTTGTGTTTTCAGTTCTGTATATATGGTGTCCTCAGCTACCTGGATGATCAGTTTGTATGCTGAGTCTTTCTTCATATACATAACAAAATGTGTTCACAAGTGATATTTTTACTTTTGTCTTAATTCAGTATGCAGCAGGTCCTAAAGTCTTATCGGTTGAGTAGTGAAAGCCTTGTACATGGCACACTATGCCCCTACCTGCTCTGTTTCATAATGAACCTTACATACACAAGACAGAAATGTGAATCATTTTTAAACTGATTTGAAAAAATAGCTGATGATGGTAGGGCATTGGTAGGGTTCATGCCTATAATCTTAGCTACTCAGGAGACTTAGATCTGAGGTTCAAAGCCAGATCAAGCTGACAAATACTTGAAACTCTTATCTCTAATTAATCAACAAAATGCTAGGAGTACATGCATGGCTCAAGTAGCAGAGCACTAGTGGCAAGGGAAAAAGCCAACTAAGAGCATAAGGCCCTTAGTTGAAGCCCCAGTACTAGCACACCCAAAAATTAATGATGAATTTATCAGACTCAGGTAAGTTCTTAAGAGTAGAAAGGCATTTAATAAATATTTACTGCATTAGTTAATCCTAAAATACTCAAATACTGTGAGGTAATGATAGAAAGCAATGAGCTTTCTATTTTGTTTTGGTTTGGCTTTTTGTGCCACTACTGGGATTTGAACTAGGGGCCTAGACACTATACCTGAGCTTTTTTGCTTAAGGCTAGCACTACCACTTAAGCCATAGCTCTACTTCAGACTTTTTTTTTCTTTTTCTGTGGTTAATTGAAGGTAAGAGTCTCACAGACTTTCCTGCCTGGCTAGCTTTGAATCTCTATCCTTGGATCTCAGCCTCCTGAGTAGCTAGGATTACAGATGTGCGCTGCCAACTGTGGGCTTTTTTTTTCTTCTTTTAAGAACATGACCTTGTTATATATCCCAGACCACCCTGGAACCTGAGATCCTCCAGCCTCAGCCTCCTGAGTGCTGGTATTTATGCCACTATAGGCAACAAAATATAAAATTTGTAATCAAGATTTTTTTTAATTTTATTTTTTGCGGGGTGGGATGGGAAGGGGGACGCAGCACTAGGAATGTGGCTTAATGGTAGAGTGCTTCTTAGCATTCATGAAGTCCTGGATTCCATTCCTCAGTACCATATAAACAGAAGTGGCACTGTAGCTCAAGTGGTAGAATGCTAGCCATAAGCAAAAGAAGCTCAGGGACAGCACCCAAGCCTTGAGTTCAAGCCCCAGGACTGGCAAAAAAAAGAGAGAGAGAGATTTGGGTCCAAGTCCCAGCCCTACTACCCTGAAAGTCAAAGTAGTCACCTGAAAAATAGGACTAACATGTTCCCAACCTTTATTAGGTACCTCATTTCCCTTCCCCATATCATTAATGTCAACTGAAGATAGAAACCTCTGTCTAGCTCTCCTTCCATTTAGTGTGGTCAGATGACCCTATTTTGACAAATAAAATAAATCTGTTGAGGAATTCCTACGAATACTTTTGTTTTCCCTATAAAAAGGACAGTGGAAGACAGAAAAATCTCCCATCTTTAATATGAAAATAGTTGAGCTTAACTGAACAACTGAAGCTGAGCATGGATGGCTCATATCTATAATCCTAGCTACTCCAAGACTGAGATGTAAGGGTCATGGTTGAAAGCTAGCTCAGGGAGAAAAGCCCATGAGATTCTGATTTTCAATTAGTCACCAAAAAGCTAGAAGTGGAGCAGTGGCTCAAGTGGTAGAACACCATCCTTGAGCTAAAAAGCTAAGGGACAGTGTCTAGGCCCAGAGTTCAAGCTCCAGCAACAGCATGCATGCGCATACACGTGCACGTGCACGTGCACATGTGCGCGCACACACACACATACAGATTAGAAGCCCAGCTTTTCACTGGTAGGCACCACTGCCTTCCTGCAACAATATGGTTTGGGTTCTTCCTAAAAATCTAAAGCTCTAAAACGGCCAGGCACTGGTGGCTCACACCTATAATCCCAAATACTCAGGAGGTTGAGTATTTGAGCCTGATCTAAGGATCAGGAGTTGAAGCCAGCCCAAGCAGGAAGATCCTTGAGATTCTTAACTCTAATTAACCACTAGAAAACCAGAAGTAGAGCTATAGAGCTATAGGGCAAGCACTAGTCTTGAGCAGAAAAGCTCAGGGACAATACCCAGCCCTATAATCAATCAATCTATCTATCTATCTATACACACACATGTGTATGTATATATAGATATATAGATATATATAGATATAGATATATAGAAAAGAGAGAGAGAGAATGGACTACTAAGTTTCATGCAATAGTGATTTAGAGATCCATGAACTCTGTAAGATCATGCAGAAATTGCTCTCTGAGGGGACAGTTACCAATATAATACTTTCACTTATGACCAACCCTGAAATTACAGAAAATGAGTTTGGAATTATAGTTATATTATTAGAAGTCTTAAGCTTTGACTTTCTACAAATTAAATCCTCTTTCCAGACATGAATTTTTAACAACTGTTTTAATTACAGAAATTATAAGGAAAAGACAAATGGCTTAGATGCTGTTATATTTTATTTCACTAGTTAAATTGATGACATTAGTTAAGTTGCTGCTGGTTCATGCCTGTAATCCTAGCTACTCAGGAGGCTGAGATCTGATGATTGTGGTTTGAAGCCAGCCTGGGCAGGAAAGTCAATGAGACTCACCTCCAATTAATCACAGAAAAAGTTAGCAGTGGAGCTGTGGCTTAAGTGGTACAGCAGTAGCCTTGAGCAAAAGAAGCTCAGGGACAGTGCCTGGACTCAGTTCAAGCCCCAGGACTGGCAAAAAAAAAAAAAAAAAGAAAAGATGACTCTTAACGAGACAGATAGAGTGTAAGGTTCTGAAATGTAAAGCCAAGACTTCAGCATGACAATGGTCAATTAATACCAGAATTTTGAAGTTACAAATATAAAACCCTGCATTGCTTTAGAAGCTATGAATCAAACAGGAAAAAAAATTATCTAAAGCAAAAGAACAGGGGGTAACATGTTTCTATTCACTTAATGATCTGTAGAGTCAGAGGAATCCAGGATGTAGTTAATGATTCAGGATGGCTCATAGGAAGTTAGGGATGGGCAGAGGCTATGCATTCACATCTGTCATGTCAGTCTCAGGAAACAACCAGCCCCTAACAGTGAGCTTCTAGAAAGGAAAATGAGAACTACTCTGCTTTCTTTCTTTCTTTCTTTTTTTGGTCGGTCGTGGGGCTTGAACTCAGAGCCTGGGTGCAGTCCCTGCACTCTTCAGCTTAAGGTGAGCGCTCTACCACTTGAGCCACAGAGCCACTTCCAGTTTTCTAGTGGTTATTTGGAGATAAGAGTCTCACAGACTTTTCCGCCTGAGCTGGCTTTGAACCACAATCTCAGATTTCAGCCTCCTCAGTAGCTAGGATTACAGGTGTGAGCCACTGGAGCCCGGCAACTCTTTCTTGTAGTCTCCCAAACTAAGGTGGCATGAGTATTTTCATTCCCACCCAAATATATGCCTAGCCTTTCCTTGTGTTGGCACTACTTTCACCTGGATCTCTACAATTCACCGATCTTCTGTCAGTGCCTTAAGTACTTGGAGCCCTTCCTGCTTCTGAGTCCTTGTAAATGATGTTTCTTGGAAGAAATTACTCCATCTGTACTGAACATACCACAATCTTAGCTTAAACTTACACTTCCTCAACAGAGCCTTCTCAGCCTAGGTTAGATGCCTCATTCTCTTGGAACCCTCCAATTCTCTTTAGAGGTACTTCATTCAATTCTCCTTTTTACACAATCAGGTATGACTCCCTTAGTGAACTGTGCCATTTCTGCTTTGTCCAATGCTATGTACCCAGTCACTGAATTCAGTATGCAGCATGTGGCAAGTTTGTAATAAATGTTTGAATGAATAAATTTTAAAACTACAAATTAAGTATATGAAAGACTTATACAACATATAGTGGCTATAAGCAATGCTTTAACATAATATACAATATGAATTCTGGGCTAAATGGAGCTATTCAAAATTGATTCCATCTAGATTCAGCATCTATTACTGAGGAATTGTTAAGGAATTTTCCCTGAATACAGTAGTAGGAACAAGGGCTGAATTTTGGAGTATGAGGGCCAGAGAGTGTAGAATGTCTCAGATGCAAAATACCACCAAGCAGTAATAGGGCCTGCCCTTCTGATGGTGAAGTTTTATAGATACTTAAGTGGACGTAGTATACTTTTCTTGTCATCTACTTTGCAGACAATTCTTATTAATACCTCAACTTGTTTAAGCTGTATCTCCTAGGTACAGTAGCCATTCTCATTTTTCACTAGGATTTGGAAGGGAAATAGCAAATATTTTGCTTTTCTTCTCTCTGAGTCAAGTTTGGCTCTTTATCTGTCACTAACCTGAACAGCTCCTCCTAGCATGACAGCCACCAGTCCCATGGCCATGCTTAGGGTCTGTGATTGCACAGTGCTCTCTGCTTCACGGGCCAGGTTTATGCATGCCCTCTGAAGTGTTGCTGCAACAAAGTCCACAACCTACCACAAAAGGGAAATTAGAATCAGTGACAAGTTAAGAAAAACACAAAGCAAAACAAATTCTCCATACCTCTTATGTTCCAACTTCATCTTTATCAATATGAGAACAAATACATCAAGTCATGACTAACATGTTTTTTGGTTTTTACATTTACAAGTTAATTATAAAGGAATTCTAAAGGATATAGGTAACATTCAGATGAAGAGATGGACAAGCCAAAAAACATGAAGAGTGGGGCTTGAAGCTTCCATATTCTCTGTGCTGGCTTCCTTCCAAGGGCCTTCCCATGTTCAGCAACCCAGGAGCTCCACACAGTAATTTCAGTCCTTAGGAGGCCATGGTATGAGAATCTCTAGTTTTAGGCCAACCTGGGCTACAATAGTGAGATCTTGTCTCAAAAAAAAAAAAAAAAGTCTTATGACTCAAAAAGATTATCTTGCCGGGTGCTGGTGGCTCACACCTGTAATCCTAGTTACTCAAGAGGCTGAGACCTGAGGATCTCTGTTCAAAGCCAGCCCAGCCCGGGCAGAAAAGTCTGTGAGACTTTTATTTCCAATTAGCCACTAGAAAACCGGAAGTGGCGCTGTGGCTCAAGTGGTCGAGTGCTCGCCTTGAGCTGAAAAGTACAGGGATAGCACCCAGGCCCAGAGTTCAAGCCCCACAACCAACAAAAAAAAAAAAAAAAAGATTATCTGGACATAGGGCTAAGGAAAGGAGAAAGCTTCTTTACAGTTTCCAAAATATTTTAATATACTAATCAAACTTCTTTTACTCTTCTTGAATATAAAATAAAAACTGTGTAGTTTAACTCCCAATGGACTAGAGACTTCAATATAAACTACTAGAAGATAAGAGAAAATCTAGGTGACCCAGGGTTTGATGGAGACTTTTTGTTGCTGTTGTTGTTGGTTGTGGGCTTGAACTCTGGGCTTGGGTGCTATCCCTCAGCTCTTCAGCTCAAGGTGAGCGCTCTACCACTTGGGCCATGGCACCACTTCTGTTTTTCTAGTGATTTATTGGAGATAAAGAGTCTCACAGACTTTCCTGCCAGTGCTGGCTTCGAACTGTGATCCTCAGATATCAGCCTCCTGAGTAGCTAGGATTACAGGCGTTGAGCCACCGGCGCTGCACCAAAGGTACAATCCAAAAACAGTGGTCACCTGGATTTCACAAAATAAAGTAATAATTCTGTATGGTCTTAAGAGACTACAAAATAAAGCTACAGACAAGGAGAAAATATATGCAAAAGATATCTCTGACAACGGATTGTTATCCAAAATATCCAAAGGACTCTTAAAACTCAACAACAAGGAAACAATCTGATCAAAAAAGATCCATAGATGGCAGACAGCTGTATGAAAAGATGATCTGCAGCAACTGTCACTAAGGAAAGACAAATAAAAGTATCTGCAGGTTCCAAATACTCACCTGTTAGAGTGGCCAAAATCAGAAACACTGAAAAAGCCAAATGCTATAAGGATATAGAGTATAGGAACTCACACTCACTGCTAGTGAATACAAAATGATGTGACCGCTTTGGAAGACAGTTTGGTAGTTTCTTACAGAACTACATAGGCTAATCTGGTAGCATATACTTAGAGTACAGCTATTAAAGAGATTAAGGCAGGATGTTTGCTTGAGCCCAAGAGTAAAGAGACAGATTGGACAACATAACAAAATACCAACTCTTAAAAGAAATGGTGGCAATAATCCCATATTAGAAAGGCTGAGGTAGAAGGAATGTGAGTTTGAAGCTGTTCTTGGCTTTAGGTAAAAACCTAACTTAGGTAAAACTGTATCTATAGATAGATTCATAGATAAAATTAAATGTATTTTCTCCATGAGTGAATAATTGCACTTGATATTTACCCAAAGGAATTGAAAACATGTTCACAAAACACACACACACACACACACACACACACATGAAAATAATCAAGATGTTCTTCCTAAGATGAGAGGATAAATAAGTTGGTACAAAGGAGTTAGTGGAGAATTATTTAGTACCAAAAATTTAGCTATCAAGCAATGAAAACGCATAGAGGAAACATAAATGCATATTACTAAGCAAATGAAGTCCATCTAAAAATATATATACTGGCCAGAGGTGGTGGCTTACACATGTAATACCATTTTCTCATGAGGCAGAGATTAGAAGGATAGTGATTCAAGACCAGCCCAGACAAAAGTTAACAAGACTCCATCTCAACAAACAGGCTAGGCATATCAGTGATCTTAGCTACAAAGGAAACACTGATTGGAAGATCAAGATCAAGATGGGGTCTAATGTGGGTCCTGGGCAAAAAAACACAAGATCTTAATAGAAAAATAACTAAAGCAAAAAAGAGTTCGAGTGATAAGATCTTGCCTAGTAAGCTCAAGACTCTTGAGTTTAAAACTCAGTACCAGCGCCCCCCCATTTTTTAAATTAAAAAAAAAAAAAGCCTGCCAGCCTCCCATTGCCCTTTGTTTGTTTGTTTTGCCAGTCTTAGGGATTGAACTCAGGGCCTGGGCACTGTCCCTGAGCTTCTTTTGCTTAAGGCTAGCACTCTACCATGTGAGCCACAGCGTCACTTCCAACTTTTTCTGTTTATATAGTACTGAGGAATCGAACTCAGGGCTTCATGCATGCTAGGCAAGCACTCTACCATTCCCAGCCACTCCCATTTCTTTTTAGTTAAAAACAAACAAACAAACATGGCAGGTACCAGTAGCTCAAACCTATAATCCTAGCTATTCAGGAGGCTGAGAAGTGAGGGTCAAGGTTTGGAGCCAGCCTGAGCAGATAAATCTGTAAGACTATCTCCAATTAGCACCAAATGGCAGAAATGGAGGTGTAGCTCAAATGGCCGAGTGTCATCCATTAGCAAAAAGCTAAGCAAAGAGTATTATGCCCTGAGGTTAAGCTCCAGTAAGCACACACGTGTGCGTGCCCATGCATGCGCGCATGCACACATACACACACACACACACACACAAAGATTACACACTGTAGATTCCAACTCTATGGCATTTTGGAAAAGGCAAAAGTATGGAAACAGTATGAGAAGACAATGGTCACCAAATGTTAGGGAGAGGGAGAACCAAACAGGATTTTTGGACAGTGAAACTATTCTGTAGGGCATTATAATGGTGGATACGTGTAATTGTACATTTTCCATGGGTTGTACCCAAATTGATTCCTTATGTAAACTATATACTTTGAGTAATAAGTATACTAAAAAGGGGTCCAAGGCTGTAACTTAGTGGTGGAATGCTTGCCTAGCAAAAGGACCACACTAAAAAAAAAAAGAAAGAAAAGTAACAAGGGTCTCTGTAGGAGATGTGATGTTGGGGAGATGCCTGATGTGTGAACACAGGGTATATAAAAGCACCCTCTGCTCAATTTTACTAAAACTACTCTAAAAAATTAACTCCCATTTGCTAGAGGGAGAATACTTTTGAGAGATACACTATAATTATATATTAAAACAGTATAAAGAACCTCAATGAAAGCTGTTATTCAATAGGGTGTTGGGGGAGGGGAAAGAGAAACAGGCTCTGTTGGAGCAGTGGGTACTACAGAGAGGGGGTTGGGCTAATGACGGTGAAATGATGAATATGGTTTAAACAGATTGTTGGCAAGTAAGGAACTAGAACAATGAAACCTGTGGAAATGGTACCAGAATGGGGGAAGGGGATAAGGGAGAATGGGAGAGGGGTTGATTGGAATACACTGTATACAGGTGTGGGATTATTTCCTAGTATAGCTAATAAACACTAACAAAGAAATTGTTCATATACAAAATTATAGAGCATTTGGCTAACAAGTAAGCTTTAAACAGAATTAATTTGGTCAGCATCATTTAAGTGAGCTTGGCTTAATCATCTTAAGTAGAAATACGTTCGAAAATGACAGCAGACACACATACACACAGGTACGCACGTACACATGCACAAATGCCTATTTAGGATTAATGGCTCAAAAGGGAGAGATCATTTTGAAAATGGGAAAGCTGAGATAGGTCATAATAAGCCTCTAAACACCATGCAAGCTTGCATGTTTAACTCTCTGGACAAATCACATGCTGTGCTAGAATCTTTATTGCAAGCTTAGAGCCTGGAGAATGGCCTGTTAACACTTGTCTTCTGAAGCAAGGTAGGAAACTGGAAGAATTATATAAATGTTCCATTAACTTAAAAGAACATTGCTTGGTATAGCAATTTTCACTACCGTCTGCAGTCCTAAGATCTTATTGATACTAGGTGAAAAGCACTGACCCTTTCTAAAGAGCTGGTGTTTTTAGCACCTGGGCCACCAGCCTCACCTCCAAAGAGTTTTCTAACACATTTTTAATATTTACATTTATATTATATAAATTTATATTGTAAATTATATAGTTATACATTATAGCATATATTTATGTATTTATATGTGCATATATTTAATGTTAAACAGTATCATTAAGTTACTACTAAGTTCCTCTTCACAATACTTTAAAGTAACAAAGCATGTAGAATTAAAACCAGCCCTCTTTACAACTATGTAAAGATGTAAAAAAATTTTTTTTGAATAAAGTAATGAAACAAATAGTATGACTCTACTTTTTCAGAAAGGAATTTTATATATATGCATGTATTCAAAAAAAAATCTGGGGGCTGGGAAGGTGGCTCAGTGGTAGAGTGCTTGCTTTGTATGCATGAGGCCTTGCATGCATGGGTTCAATTCCTCAGCACCACATAAGCAAAAAGAAAAAAGCCAGACGTGGCGCTGTGGCTCAAGTGGTAGAGCGCTAGCCTTGAGCTGAAGAGGTGAGGGACAGCGCCCAGGTCGAGTTCAGGCCCCAGGACTGGACCCAAAAAACTAAAAATAAAAATCTGAGAGATGTAGCCAGGCCCAAAGAAACATAGGTCCCATGGTTTCCCTTGTTTGCAATATCTAGTATATGTATGAGTCAAGCGGAAAAGGTCAGATAATGTGATGTCAGGAAAATGAACCCTTAGATATGTATTTTAATGT